TCTCTTCTCCGTGGTGCCCAGCAACAGGACAAGAGGCAACGGGCAGAAACTGAACCACAGGAAGTTCCATCTGAACCTGAGAAAAAACTTCTTCACTGTGAGGGTGACAGAGCATTGGACCAGGTTGCCCAGAGAGGTAGTGGAGTCTCCTTCCCTGGAGATATTCAAAACCCGTCTGGATGTGATCCTGGGCAATATGCTCTAGGTGACCCTGCTTGAGCAGGGAGGTTGGACTAGATGATCTCCAGAGGTCCCTTCCAACCTAAACGATTCTGTGATTCCTTGAGCAGTCTGGAAATGTGACAGTTCGCACACAGATTCTGTCAGACTCCTGACCCTGGCTCACTGGACTAGGATTTGTCTGAGTGTTCAAATATGTCCAGATCCTTTCTACATCTTATAAAGAATTCAGGTTGCTGATAGATACCCCACACTTTTCTTCTGCTCCTGCAGAATTGCGCCTTACTCATGAAAGGAAGGTTTTGGTCTGAGTGATCAAATACCCATTTACTTTAATTCTGCTCGTTATTCTAAATACAAAATGGTAGAGGTACTGGATTTAGCTGTGTATCACAACACAAACAGCGGATACAAAATTCTGAAAATTGTTCAGAAAGATTTTTGTGGATCTGCAATAAACTGTGGTAAACTTGTGAAAAGTTCACCTATAAGTGACAATGAACAATTGAAAAATCTCTGGACAAAAAGGGAATGAAGCAAGTGCAGGGTCTGATCTAATGCACCAGAGGTAAGATAAGGTTCACTGTTACACTGCTCTGCAGAGTATTTTATTTGCACCTCTAATGGAAATGACTGTATTCTTTTGTTAGGTATACATTCACCACTCTCTTCAAAAGCTTTAAATGATTTGGGAGAAAAACGGAAGGAGTTTGCACTGAGTTACAGTAATAAGACAGTAAAGACTACGTAGGTCACCTTCACGGACCTTCCTGTTTTCATCCACATATTCTAACTAAGGCTCCATCCATTTTTAGGAATACTTCTTACAGTTTTACATGCATCTTTAGAAAGTTAGTAAGAAAGCAGCCCACAAGAAGACTGCAGTAAGGTTTGTTTTATTATTTGTATTTCGGTAGGGTTAGGAGGTCTCAGCTGTGGCACTCTGAGGCACTTAACTACTTTTTCACTGTTTCCAGCCCCACTGCTTTCCTCAGGTAAAATTTCATGCTAAAGAGTATATAAACACACTTCTGGTCTTCTCTGATGTTTTTGAATCTGCTTTAGAGAAGATTATAACATTCTGAGCTTGCACTCCAAACCAGAAAGGATCCCAGTTTGGGGGTGATCTGCAAAACAGTATCATGCTTTTCCATGCACATCTCAGAGGATCCTATGGTATAGGAGACAGGCAAAACGAGGAAAAGATGTTGCCCCCAGGGACACGCTTGTGCTATGCTACTTATCTCAGCTTTGGCAGCAACCCAAAATTCAGTGTGCAGAGATTCCTTTCATAGGTTTGGTTATCACTCCGTGTTACTACAGCAGAGGTAGCAGGAATTCCCCATAGGCTACTGACGCTAATATGTTACTGTTTTGTTTAAAATTGTTTTTCTTTTAAAATGAACAAACTTTGCTACATTTTTGCTAGCTTTCCTATTTTACAGTATGACTGAAGTTTTTTGCAGCTTTTTTTTTCTTTTTTTGGTTATCGTATTGCATTCTTTTAGATCTATGTGTTTAAATCGATGTCTTAGCTGTCTATTGTGGTCTCTCAAAATTAGCGCATTTTAAGTGTGTGCTTGTACAACTGGCAGGACAAACCTGTCTCAACTCAGACAACTGTGTCACTTTTACAAAGCATTTCATGTTAAATACAAAACTGTCATGGCTCTGTGGATTTTTATATGGGTTGGTAAAGTCCCACTAAATTCCTCCTTGCTGTCTTTAGTGTTGACCTTGAATATGTTGCCATTAACTTCTCATAATTCATCACCTTTCCTACATTATAAGTAAGTGTAGTAAATATCTGAAGTCCCAAAGTACATTACATTGAAGCATCTGAAGTTGGTTACTTATTTGATTATCTTTACTTTTTCTCTCATCTTTTAGTTTTTAGTTCTCAGTAATGCTTCATCTTGTACAGCATAAACTTAGATCCTTAGGAGTTTATCCAAATCCCAATACAAGTCTATCATATTATTTTTTTTATTAAAAAATCTGTAGGACAAAGCATAAAACTCTCATAACGGCACAATTTTCTTTACAAAATTTCTTTTTTGTCCTTTTCTTATCTCTTTTATCTTACTCTTTCATAATTCTGCTGTCACTTGTTTTAATTCCAGATATTTTTAACTCCACTGTGAAACCTGTCAATTTGCAATTGTTAAGAATATCTTCCTGGGACAAATATTCTCCTGCTAATATGAGTCATACAAAAAATGATAATTCACAGTAAAACCATGAGTCATATATTAACTTACTCACTTTCTTCATATTCTTTTTATATTATCATACCTCACTGCTGAAAATCCGTTTACTGGATTGAGTCAAATACTTGGCCAGAGCAAATTATTTTGCCAAAAGGGAAGACAATTTTTTTTTTTTTTTTTAGTGGTTAGGGAAGGATGTTGGTATGACTGTGTAGAGACGGCCAGGGTTCACAGCAGCAAGTTGTTGACTTTTGTTTAATATGTGTAGATACCTAGAGAATGACACTGTCACGTTAAAAAGAAGAATGTCTGTGTCTAGATGGATTGCATCTCAGCCGTAATTCTTAAGGAAGCCAGTGCCTACACGTTGTGCTAGAAAGCCGTTAGATCACCTAGACAACTTTTATAGTGCAGGGAGAACATTCCCTTTGTCTGGCTTTGTGCTTGTTTAAGAAGTGCCAGTGCCACCCGAGATGCAGCGCTTTTGGTTTCAGCCCACGTTCTGATTTTGTAAAGCTTCACCGTCTTTGTTCTGGCAGGAACATTAGTGGTTGGAGTTGAGCCCTACAGCAGAAAGTGATTTTTGTCAGTTACTTTTCTAAATAATATAAAGACCCATTCTGTAATGCTGCTGTATGTCACATCTTGTGGCTTAGAACTACTATCGTTTGTTTCCCAACATAAAAAATGTAATTGTATTGTGATACATAAAATAATTACACCAGTGTGTGTTCACTGATTACATAACTTCAGGATATTCTAGTTTGTTAGGTGTATAAACGGTGTTTTTCAGAAGCAGTGCGTATTACAGAGAAGTCTGTTCACTGCACTAAGCACTCATTCTGTACTGGGAATTATCAAAGGTTTATGAAGTCCTGCGATTGTCTGACCACAAAACCTTGAGAAAAGGGATGACTTGCTCTTCCTAAAGACACCAATTGTCTTGGTGGTCAACTGCAAGATAAACAAATTATGTTTGCAAGCAGAAGCAGCTGTAAAAGGAGATACAAGAATAGAGTGAAGTGGGAAATGGGAATAGATTAAGTTTAACCTCTTTATCTGAAATACTTTTTTTGATACTCCCCCTCCTCATGCTATTTACTATTTCTAAATAAAATAAGATCATAACAAATTGATTCAAGGAATTGAATAGAGCAAAAATTGGGATGGTAGGCAGATGATTTTGAGGCCTTAGGATTTGATGAATGCTTTGCCTTCCGCACCATCCTCTTTCAAATATGCTTTAGGCATATTTATAAGAATATTTTGTACAACTGCAGATTTTTTTGAACTGATTTTATACAACTATATAGATTTTTTTTTTGAAATATATATTTCATATTATATAAAATAAAAGGTTTGAACTAACATTTTTCATACAAAACCTACTGGGACATGAAGAGGAAGGAGAGGAACGAATGAAGTTTCTGTATGGCCATAAATCACAAACGGTTTCAAGGCCACAGTTGATAATGACTCCGGTATCACATTAATCTCTTCATAGAATAATCAGTTACTGAATTTGGGAAAATGTGCAGGAATTGCTTTTGAAAAGTCTGCTGAAGTTCATATCAGGAAATCCTTTTCCTATCAGTGTGACGTTCAGTATCATTCTTCGGATTTTTCCACGTTAACCATAAGCAATGGTGCTTTGGCGCTGCTACTTGTGCGAGTTTAAAAATCTGTATAAAAATGAGTAGATTAATTCTTTTTACTTCTTATGCCGTTTTTTTCTTGAACTGCAAATTAAACCTTCCCACAGGTTTTTTCAGTGACTTGTGTGATACTCTTTTGCTTTTATTGAGCTAGTGTAACTGAATTTAACATATTTTACTTTTGGTTTCAGCTGTTAATCCTAGATATGTGCTTAGAAATTGGATAGCAGAATCAGCAATACGAAAAGCTAATTTGAATGATTTTTCAGAGGTAAAACTGATTATTTCTTTCTTGACATTTGTATTATTAAAAAAAATTGTTGTTTACACTTTGAACCCATACTACACTTTGAGCAAAAGTGTGCTATATAATACCAATAACTATTAATAGTATTAATACTCTTACTAATACTATCAATTATATTATGAATAGTATTGGTTATAAAACTGATAGTACTATTAATAGTAAGCAACTAATGGAGTTATTTCTAGAGGCAGGAGAGTGCTTTGTGTGACGTTGCAGAGACTCTCCTTATTTGAACGAAAACATCTTGTATAAAAATTTACTCATTTTAATTGCTTCCAGGTTCACCTTCTACAGCAGGTTTTACAACATCCCTTTCAGAGACAGCAGGCCGCAGAGAAAGCGGGCTATTCGCAACGTCCACCAGCTTGGGCCAAGGATCTTAAAGTAAGCTGTTCATCCTGAGACAAAGCCGAACGAGCAAGAAGGATCAAGGTCAGAGCTCAGGCCTTCAAATGGAATTAAGGAGTCAAGCAACAGGAAGTTTTCTCCTTTATACTTTGTCGACTGGAATCTGCTACTCTCTAGATGAGGTCTTGACCAACTTTATAAAAATAAGGAAATGGACTCCTGTGTATGGTTGCATCAACAGTTTATGTTGGCATTTATAATTCTTCAGCTGTGCATTAATTTGAGTCCCAATACTACAGTGCTGCCAAACTATTACAATTAACTTCTCAAAATTCATGTCTTAAAGTTGGATCTCCGTAAGTTTCAATGGCCGATCAATTATTTAAAAATCATCTATGCAAGTTTTTAATTATACAGTATTTTGATGAATGTTCTCACTTGCTGTGACACACTCTCCAAATATAATTGTATTCTGAAAATATAGATGTTCCAAAATCTTTTGCAGAGTTGGAACGGCATAATCTTACATTTACACCCTTCTAGATTTTCTCTTTTTGCCCTTATTGTGTCCCATTAAACTACCTAAAAAGACTTAAAGGACATTGGATTAAATAGTGAGTGGGTTTGTCTATCTTAGGAATGACTTGCCCAAGAATAAATTGTGGTCCTCTCTGCCAGAGTCAGATGCCTATCAGGCCTAGCTTGCTGCTCCTTGAAAGTTTATCTTTTGATAGTATTATGGAGACTGATGGTGCACAGATATAATGAGAGAGGAAATTTCCACTGGATGGACATGAAAAGGACTTGAAAGTATCTCATTATGTATATATTCAGGACAATTTGTCTTTCATATCCAGCCATCTGATACTGTAAGGGGCTAACACAACTGTTACAGGGAAAATATTTAAAATTCAGCTGAAACTGTTACATAGTAACCCTTTGAATAGCAAAGGAGAGAGAGACTAGTCTTTGTTTTGAAATCAGGTCCTCTTACTCATTTTGTTTGACACTCCAGTTCCACATCACAAAAAAGAGTATATAATTAAGCCAAACTGAGAGGTAACCAGTCAGGTGCAATATTATGCTGGAAAGTTTACAGCAAAAATCACTTATTTGAGGGCTCTGTTACTTCTTGACATTACCTAGGCTGTTCTCAAATCCAAAATGGATTGTTCTGGAATCTCCAAATTTCTTGACTGCTACTTGATTCTGCAATGGAGGCTATTTAATGGCATAATTAAAATTTCACAAATCTATTTCTAGAAATATAATTAGTGGGAAAAGAAGTTCTGTATTTTTAGAAGTCTTTCAGTGACAAAAAATATTTGAATGCCTTTAGTGACTGTAATCAACACAGTTATTCAGGAACTCCTGATATACAGTTGTGCAAATATAAATAACAGTATTATAATGTGAGGCATAGTGTGTATATATTTAAGTGCAATTTCATGAAGATCCATACCAAATTTTAAGCATCTTAAGTTCAGTCTGGGTTAAATCACAGCTTTGACGATTGTATTTAAAACTGGCTGACATTTCTCTGTTCTAGAGATGAGCTTTTTGCAGGGGGTATTTAATAGTCTCAGATCATCTATGGACCAAGGCTATGAACTCTGTAAGTAGAATATAGGCCTGTACTTAATTGGCTAAGCTTATGAGCCTTGCACTTGTTTTGAGAGCATTTCTCCGTTTGGCTACTTGGAGATGGTATCTTTTGAATACTTTAGCCTGTCAATTCAAAACCTCTAGGTAACATTTTTCTTATTGGTGAACAGACCTCTCCTGAGGAGAGCTTCTTCCTCACTTTGGTGAAAGTGAGGAAACTGGAAGACCACTAAGAGTTGCGTGGGCTCTGTCTATACTGGTAAATAAGAGGGTCAGGGACTAGTTCCTTGCCCTAAGAGTAGGGAACCTAACTGGTTGTGTTCATGCTATGGGGGACCTCTGTAGGGAGACTCAAACTAGTTTCTGTCTTGTCCATGTTGTCTTTTGGGAATGGTGCCTGTCCTGTCCTTGAATCGTGTCTGGGACTATGTTTAGGCACACCTAGGCAGTATGGGTGAGTGCTAGGCAGTGCTCAAGCCTGCACCCTACCCGTCTTGTATTTAGCCAGAGCCACAGGCGTACAATCTCTGGCATCTCTTTATAAAGAGGTGGTTATTGCCTTCATGTTTCTGCCAAGCTCTTTACACAGGTATGTGAATACTAAAACAAACAAACACACAAACCTTAAAGCAAAAATGGGACTAGAGATGACCCAAAACTTTCCCAGGCCTTAGCAATGTCATTGGCATGTTGTCGTTCTCCTCCCTCCCACCACTTCTGCCCTGGCCCGAGGGACCCCATTTTGATAAAGAGCAGTGCAGCTTCTCCTCCTAGTCTGTCAGCTGCTTTTATTTCTTTATTTAAACAGCACCCTTTGCTTTTTATGGCTACATCTCAGAGTAACGGGCCTCTAAAACTCATGTTCCAAAGGACTTGAAGCATTTCCAAACGGAAGACAGAGACTCACTGGGTTACATGCTGCGCTTGTGAGGCTTTGTGATTATCATCTCCAGCAAATGCTGCTAAGATGGCGCAGTCTTGCTGTACGGCCGTGCAGTGGTGGTGCAGTGCCTGGGCTTCAGAAGTGGCTAAACTTGCCAAACATAAAGCACACCCCAAATGAAACCATTCTTCAGATTCCCCACAAGAGGAGCGCTGATATATTGGTCACAAGAACTGGTAAGGCCCAGTAACATCTATTCCGTGGGAGCCCAGCTAGGCCAGAAGGGAGGATTAATCCTAACCCAAATCAGAAAATGTGTTGTTTGACAATAATGTGAGACTTACTTACTAGGATGACTGGCATTTTTCCATGAAGAAGTTTGAAGGCATGGATGCAGATAGCTCTAAATGTTGCTATGCCCCTATGGCTAATACACTTTTGTGGTGTCACACTTGGAAAAAAACATGTTACTTATGCACATGATCTTCTAAGATTCCATAAGACAGGGATAAAGACTGGAGGAAGTTAAAAACAAGCAATCTAGAAGATATAGGCAAAAAGCCTTTAAAATATTTGAAGTTCTGTGGTACCATTTTCCAGTAAAATGCCTGTTCATTAACTGTGACACTTTGTGCAGATATAAAATAGAAGCTATTTTTATTTGAGAACTAATAATGAATGCTACCTAAATGACAATGGCAAATTAAAATGGAGAACAAATGAAAAAAATATGTAGGAGGAGACACATTGATATTAGGTACAAGATAATTACGAAGTCTTTATAGAAACAGACTATTTCTAGGTACAATTTGAAGACAAATGTTAACCAACAGGAAAAAAAAAAAAAGAGCCCTGCTTACCAGAGGAAACATACAATATTTTGAGATAAAAATTTGTCTCATCTAAAATTAATCAAATAAAGTGAGATTTAAAGGGAGCAATTGTGAGTGCTGACAGATATCACTGGAGTTGTATATGGAAAGTATAACATTTGGGGTGATAGTCTTTGGGAAGGGTCTTTGTCCTGCCTTTCATCTCAGGGTAATCTAGCTGAGATTTTTTTTTTTTTCTTTTTAAGATAGGCTTCTTTTGGAGAAAAAAAAGTGTCTTTTGATCAAAACCTAAAATAACTTGGGGTTTTCTGATAAAAATAAAGAATCTTTCAGGGAAATTCTGTGAGAAGACATCTTCCCATTCCTCAGAATCCCCATGAGAAACAGTACTGTTTCCTTCAGCTCTAATTCTCTTACAAGGCAACCACAAAAGGTGCAGTTCACTCGTTGCCTGGCACTGCGAGTGCTGCTCCACCAACCTAGCTATCCTGATGGAGTGAAAGCAAAAGCATATCCCCAGTTTCTTACCTTGGCCTGGTGCTGGAGTGGTAGTAATGGGGAGGGAAGGAGCAAGTTGTAGGGACAAGGTGGGGGCTGAGCACAGGAGGAACTTCTCCTGGTGGGCCTTCATCCCGTACCACCTTCTATGACACCACGCACCAACAACTATGCCTTAAAGTTCATCTGCCCTCAGAGTTCAGGAGCTGCTGCCCCTTTTCTTCTCAAGAGCTTTCATTAGATCAGACATGAAATCTGCTTGTCTGCCCCCACTCCTAAAAGCAGGTGGCTCATTTGGCCTTGCCTCTCCATCTTGTCCTGTGTTTTCTTGCCTTTTTGGAGGAAGTGGCACAGGTTTCTTTGTCAGAGGTGGTATCTTACTGGAGACAGGTGGAGGTGGAGGGGGTAATGGCAAGTCTCCATTACCGCTGCTGGAGGATGGTGGTGGTGGAGGCACAAAATCAGGAGGAGGTTCACAGAAATCAGGTGGTGGTGGTGGTGGCAAATCAATCTCCAGTGCAGGTGGTGGTGCTGGAAAGCTGTCTGGATCTGTTAGGAAGATGCCGCTGTCTCGTTTGACTTTGGAGGGTAGAACTGGTGAAGCAGCAATAGCAGATGACCGCCTTTCAGGTGGAGGAGGAGGCTGCAGTGACCCTTTCCTATTCTGGTATTTCTGTGGCCTCATCACTGGCTGTGCCAGGCCAGATGCACCCACACCATTTGACTTAGCCTTTATCAGACAGAAGGAATAAAAGGACAAGACAGTCAGTGCATGTGTAAACTACTGTCACTGCCTATGAACAGTGAAATGATGTGAAAGTATGCGACAAGAGTGCGACAGACACACAGTGAAATAAGGTAGAGTATATTCTGCCAAAAGAGCGCAAACAGTATTTTGTTTTCTTTCTAGAGCTACCAATAGAGCTTTGACAGTGGACATCTCTCTCTTAAAAGTAGCCATAGCGCTTCTTTGAGTGCTGCCCTCATAAAATGAGCGCGTTTAAAATTTTAAAAAGTTGCAGTTAGTAAGACATATAAAAAATAATTCCTTGATGTTCTACCCTGCTGCTCACTCCCCGAGAACGTGCAGACTTAAAAAAAAGTCTCAGTGGTGTGTGTGCTTACATCTGAAAATACTGAGCAAGATTTAAGGACATAAAAAAACAGATGTAGTTCCGGTGCTCTTTCCTATTGTATCTCTATCTCCCTCTCTAGCTGTGACTGCTGGGTATCTGGATAAAGTCGAAATAATGAGGAAGTTACCTATCTCTGCCAAACTGGTTATTAGTCACAACAGTAGTGAGCTGGGGAGAAGGTGAAGCTATTTAGGGTTTTACAGCATGTGTGTCTGGGCTCGCTGTTCCCATCACTCTGCACTCACCTGTGGGGTAGTGCACTGGGCTCCCCTCCGCGCAGGAGGGAGAGCACTGCAAACCAGTGGCACCAGTGGCTGAACCAGTCTGTGACTATTCTATGCAGTGCCGAGCAGGGGAAAGTGCTGCTCCTTTGGTAAACAAATGAGCACCACTGGCAAGCCCCAGGGCAGTCTTCGGCCCCTTGTGTAAGGGGCTGTGCGTGCGTGTGTGTGTGCAGGGGCGAAAACACACACACATACACACACACACACTTTCTCCACTACTGGAACAATGCATGGCAAAAAAGCCCTGAAGCCATTAAGTTTAGCCACGTTTGCAAGATTAGTAGACATTTGAACTCACTGATCACTTTCTTTAGGCAAAAAATGAGTGAAAACATCCAGCAACATTTAGGCAGCTTATCTTTCAAGTTGTGTTTGCCAGTCAACGCTGAAGATAAATAAAGCCCATTTGGCAATATCCGAACATAATTTTCTCTCCTTTTTTTTTTTTTAAATGGCAGCTGGTAGCTGCTAAAAATTACCATAAAAACATGTGATCTAAAATTTACTTTCTGCTTTTATATCTGTTCTTGTAAATCTGTGGAGAAGTCTCCTCTCCTGAACATATAAGCCTTGTACTACATTGAGTTCTAGTTATCACAGAATCACAGAATGGCCAAGGTTGGAAGGGACCTCTGGAGATCATCTAGTCCAACCCCCCTGCTCAAGCAGGGTCACCTAGAGCACATTGCATAGGATTGTCTCCAGATGGCTTTTGACTATCTCCAGGGAAGGAGACTCCACTACCTCTCTGGGCAACCTGGTCCAGTGCTCTGTCACCATTACAGGAAAAAAGTTTTTCCTCAGGTTCAGATGGAACTTCCTGTGGTTCACTTTCTGCCCATTGCCTCTTGTCCTGTCACTGGGCACCACGGAGAAGAGGCTGCCCTCATCCTCTTGACACCCTCCCTCCAGATACTTGTACACATTGATCAGATTGCCTCTCAGTCTTCTCTTCTGCAGGCTGAACAGGCCCAGCTCTCTCAGCCTTTCCTCATAGGAGAGATGCTCCAGTGCCCTCATCCTCTTTGTAGCCCTTCGCTGGACTCTCTCCAGGAATG